TTTGCGGCAAAATAGGTTTTTAGTATTCATGATCCTCGGAGGTGCATCTTATTAAGTTGAAAGGATTAATTCAATTCTGCTCACTAAAGTTTAGTTCTGTCATTATTCAGTGGTACCATACCTTTAATCTCTCCGATGTGCCCTGAGCCCATGGCCAAAAGTTTATCCTTCCAGTCCTTTGACAACAGCCTCTCAATGCTGCGGGGACCTCTGGTTTTAGGTGGGGTTAGGGTGGGGCGGTAGAGGAAAAACGAGAGAGGGGATGTCAGTTTGGCTGCGGCCAACCAATGCGGGACAATAAAGCTCATTAAAGTCCATTCTGGGGGCTGCTAATTTAAATGGCAGCCGGCAGCTCGAGCCGTAATTGGCCCGCATCAGGCTAGGAGGAAAGCGAGAGAAGGACGAGGAAAGTGGGGAAAAAGGGGGGAGAAGCTGATAATCCCCGAAAGAGAGGGAAAATCCCTGGCAAGAAACAAAAACCAGTGGAGCAAAAAGGGAAAAAGAGCGCCCGAGAGAGCCAACGCAAAGACTTAAACAGATGAGGAGACCAAGTTGGACGGGGCAAGCGCGGCGGCCGCAAGCCCCCCTGTGGGGGAGAGAGCAGCGAAAGAGAGGAGCGCCTTTGTTGCCCTCTCACCTGCTTGCTAGGAGAATCATTAGCCCTGTGCGGGCCCTGAGACAAAGGAGGCCTTAATGCAGCCGCCACAATGGACACATTATCAGCAGCGCTTTTGGTTTCTCAACACACACTCCACAGACCCTTAACACACCACACACACACCACACACACAACACACACACACCACACACACACACACACACACACACACACGACACACACACACAGCACACACACACACACGACACATTCCACAGGTATCCCACTAATGTACCAATCCCTAACCTATTGGGTTGCGCTCACCACACACACACACGCGCACACGCCACACGCACACACACACACACACAGTTTGGGGAAGGTGCGAAATGTCACACATTTGAACAGCATACACATGTTCACACCCTACTGTGTGCAATCTATACATGCCACTAAAAGCGCATCACACACATGCATGTGGCGTGTTACTGACATCTCACCCTGTCGACACTCGTTATTGCCACGAACAAAGGGCGAGCCGAAGGGCAAATGGGGAAGGGAGGCACTGGAAGTGTGACGGGTGAGAGGACGAGGAGATCTATTTTTACTGGGCAGCCATCTGCCACTTGGGAATGCGCAGGCCTGCTAAGGAAGAGGTTTTACACTTTGAGTGGGGAGAGTTAACCCTATCAGCCAACGCAAACACACACACACATATGGAATGCACGCAGACAGCGGGCAAGAACACAGCCACATGCATGAACAACACGTATACCACCTTGAATGCGCTTTAATCAGCTGCACACCACACTGGCACACTGCTGGATGGCAGGCAAAAGTTCTGTTTGTCCCCGGATTACTCTTTTTTCTTCCATAGATGCACAACCACTGATTTAAGTAAAACAGGAAGTCTTATCTTCACTGGTATGAGACAGCTTGCACACACACCTAATGCTCTTTCCAGAGAGACAGGGAGATGATCCGGTGTGTTTGAGCTCAACAGCTTAGCTCGTTTTCCCACTAAGGTGGACATGAGCACACACACAGCCCACCACATCAAACAACAACGTCCTAAGTACTTGTTACCCATCATTCACAACAGCACACTTCCTTTCCTTTTCTTTCCACTCACTCTATGTTTCTCTCCCTTGCAACGGACGTGAATGTGACGAGATGAGAAAACCACCTGGAGACTTTGAAAGGATTCTATAATGGACACCATGATCAACACAAAACAAGGACGCTGATGCTAGAGATCGATAGACTGCAACACACACACAGAAGGCACTTGCAGCGTGTCCTTACATTACTGACCTTGGTGTGTGTGTGCGTGTCGTGTTGCGTGTGTGTGTGTGTCTGTGTGTGTGTGTGTGTGTGTGTGCTGTGGTCTGTGCGCGTGTGCGTGCGGTGTGTGTGCCGTGCGCGCGGCCTGCAGCCTCCCCTCAGAGGGCCTGAATCAGGTCCTTTACTCTGGCTTCAAGACCTACAGCACTCGCGCCCTCCATTGATTACACAGCGGCCACACATTCAGAAACACACACACACACACACACACACACACAACACCACACGTTTGTGAAGCTCAACGGCGACACCCTTTCTTATTCTCACTCGTTCTTGCCTTTTTGCGAAATCCCTCCAGCGGTCCTTGGGACTCTGACTGGTGTGTCCTTGTGTTTTTTGACGCTGCCACTCAAGCCAGTCTAGCTTGCACTGATGTTGCCTTCTAGTGCTTTTCTGTCAAGAAGGCCCCTGTAGCCTTCAGGAATGGTTTAGCGTGGGGGTAGAGAGTGGGAGGGGACCTGTGGATGAGAAAGAAGCTGTTGGCTAAAAACAGGCAGTAAGAAGCGTAAACATGCGTAGGAGAGGAAGAAAGAGTGTCCTCCTGTGCCCCCCCCCTTTCCTCGCCGACAGCCTGTCTCACCAATCACCCCAACAGGTTGCCGTATTAGCCCCTGCGCTCCCCCCTCTGTATCTCCCCGTCTCCCTGCAGCCCCCTCTCCCTCAACAATGACAAGGCGGTTTTTAGCCAAAGAGCTGTTTGACACGTGAGAGGGAACAACAAATGGCAGTGTCGCCTGTTCTGCTTGTCCATTGTCACTCCTCGTCGTTCATCTCCTAGTATTATTTATGTTATAAACAGGGCGCAGTTATTGGTCCCCACCGTGACAGGCCGGCACTTTAACTATATAACAAAGCCAAGCTTTCTCATTGTGGCGGCGTGATGGCAAAATGGAGGAAATGGCAAGAGGAGTGCGAGGAGAAGAGAAGAACGGACGTTGCATGCGCAGCTTTTACGTGAGATGTTGATTCGAGGGGTGAACACTATGAGAAATTCACCATTACACGCACACGCAACACACACACACACACACACACACACAACACACACACACACACACACACACACACACACACACACACACACACAAAACACCACACCACACACACACCACACACACACCACACCACACCACACCACACACACACACCACCACACACACACACACAGCACCTGTGCAGCCAACAATAAAATCTGCTTTGACCCTCCGATGACCCCGCAAACATGTCGAACGCCCTCCCGGTACATTACCCCATTCCGCCGTGTTTTTCAGCTCATTATTTGTTATGAAATATGGGCCACCAATAAGCTGGACAAAACTAAAACAAACTCTTTGTACTTTCTCTTTACATCAAACAGCTTTTAAGTCCAGTAGATGGAAATGCGGATGATTAATGTTTCTGCAATTTTTCATGAGCTTCTTGACTAAATGTGCCAGACCCCGGAGTCTGGACATAGCAAATGTTCTGTACCTCCTGCTGAAAAAACCGCGCCCAACAAAAAAGAGACAGCAAAAACGCTTTTCCATGAAGATCAGAGCACCCCCTACTCCCTGTTTTTTTCTGACGTACAGGGTGTGGCTGTTGTTGTTTGTGTGTGTGTGTGCTGTGTGTGTGGTGTGTGTTGTGTGTGTTGTTGTGTGTGTGTGGTGTTCCCCCCCTGTGTTGTGTGTTGTGTGTGTTGGTGTGGTTGGCGGTGTGGGAGGGCGGAGCCGCGAAATGTAGGAAGCTANTATGTGGAAATAATACCATAAATAAAATGTTACCTCTCATTTATCATATATGAAGAATTCATTTTCAAACATTGATTAAAGCCAATCTTAAAATGATTTAACAAACGCCTGTTTGAGACTCCTCAGTGCACACAAAAACATAACTGGGAGAAATAAATAAATACGGATATGTTATTTAAAACCACCTCGGTAAGGTTAATGTCATGAAATGTTTTCTCATAAATGATGCGGTAAGCAGGAGGACAGAATTACGTCTAAACTGAAGCCGTTTTCCATTTCTATAGGTTGTAGATACGAGCATGGTTTTATATATGTTTAATACATGTTTAATCGTGTTTTATGCCGTTTGCCAAGACTTGATAAGTCGCTCGTAAAACACAGGAGGTATGGAAACTAAGAGCACCACATGTGGTAAATTGTACAGCTAGTATAACACAGCACATTAGTTGTATTTCCTTTAACTGGTGGATTATGGATATATGGTTGCTGATCGACAGCTGGAACACAAACTACCAAATACAAACAAATAATTCAGATCCAGTCGTCATGACTCCACTCCGGAGGGATTCCCCGATCATTTCTTAGTTTCTCATCAAGGGGGGGGGTCTCCTGTCCCCGGTGCAAACACACTGCCTGAGGAAGGCTATGTGTATTTATTTGGTCATGAACCTTTTTCGGACGACTTATTTATTTATTTTGGTGACGATCCGACCTCCATGCTGCTACTCTGGTTCAAACTGCATCCACCAAACAATATGATTTATCTCGACCTCCCCAAAATAACCAAAATCTGACACGGTGTGAGATGTTTTTTTTAGCTGTTCTGTTGTCATTTCCTGCGATCTTCTTTATAAAGTCAGTCAGTCAAAATGAATGAAAGGGCGTTTCTTTGACTATTTATAGGCAAATATGGGCGTTACGTGAAGCCCGCAAAAGCTGCACAACATTTCGAGTCGATTGTGATTTATAAAGGGAAACTGGCGTAGGAAGTGCCGTACGCACTTCCCTCGCCGGTACGCAATGTTTGGTGAATCGGAAAATGTCGAAAGATGTCTGTACCTATTTTTTTGCTTTGTACTACGTAAGCAACCTTCCCACGTGAATCCTACGCAAGGTGTTATAAATGAGGCACCTGAACCTTTGTATGTATTTATCATTGTCAAGTAGCAGCCTAATTGCTTTAGTCAATTCATTTTTCATTTTGCTCTGACTTTGTCAAACAAAATAAGGCCAGGGTGCGCATGTCTACATGTTAACAAGATGTACTCTTCTAAACCCCTTTGTTCTCTAATTAAGATGTCTTCTTGTTTCTCTCTGTGCCATCCCAGCCTCCTTTGCCCCAATCTGTTTTGCCATCAGAGCAAAGGAGAATGACATGCTGCCGCTGGAGAAGAACAGAGTCCGGTTGGACGACGACTCGGATGAGGACAAGGTCAGTTTGGTCTTTTCAATATGGATAGAAAATGGAACCTTGCAAAAATGCAGTTTGTATGAACCTGCATTATCAATTAAAATGATCTGTTTTTCCTACAGTTACTGGAGGAGCAGGGTCTGAAAGATGTCATGGGTGGGACTGAAATGTTTGAAAAAGTGATTGCCTCAATCAGTGCACCAGAAGAGAAGAGACCCTCCCTCAGTTTGGAGGAGCTGGAGGCCAAACAAGGTAAAAAGATGTTTGAGAAAACGAAAAAAACCCTTGTTAAAAATATACGAATCCTGCACTGCTTCGTCCTGTACCTGTTTATTCCCCGGCTCTCAGGCAACACAGGATAAAACATCAATGAATAATAATTACTTGACTTTATGAATTGCCAACACATGTTTCAAATTTAGTCCAACAACATTTCCACTCTTCTTTCCCTGTTTGTATCTCAGTTTGTGCCTTCAGTCGGCCTCATCATGCCTGTCTGATTGACAGAATGTTGACTAGGCATCTGCTGTTGGATATGACACAGGTCATTCTTTTCCTCTGTTGAATTTGTGTGTGCTAGATTTAAATTCTCTGCGTCAGCGTATAAGTACAGGTGCTTAAAAGACATCTTCATTCCACCCACTGGCATTCCGTTGCTTTCTGGGAGCGTTGGATTTTGCAGGAAAAGCAAGAGGGGAAGTGTGGAGATGAATAAATCCATTGAGTCTGAATTATGAATTCTCTCAACAGGGTGTAGCCTGCAGTAAGACACGAGCAGTGTGGTACAGCAAACAACAGTCGTATATCTCTCCAAGGCCCTAATGGAGATGCATTTGCTCTATTTTTGTCTCTCTTTTGTTCCGTATGCTTGTAGAATATCTCATACTGGCTTTCCGCGGTCTTTACTAACCTAAAGTAATGCATCAGTGACTTTGCACTCAAACACTTGACATATTACGTCAGAAGGCATAAAAGCATTGTTTTTCTGTACATGGTTTACACTCTGTTGCCATTATCAGGGTTTTTATAGAACATATAGCATTTAAATATAGAAACAAATCTATCTCTGCAGATATAATAAGACCCCCGCTTGCTCAGTTAACCCTTTTCACAAAAAGCTCCAGCATAAGGGACTAAAAACATATTTTACTTATGCATGTTGCCAATTTTATTTTCAAGGTTACAGTCCCATCTCTGAAATATTCATGTATTGTAATGTATGGCTATTAATTTCAGAAGTAATAGGGTTTTTTACTAGAAGCCAGAAGCTATTGTACTTGAAGTTGATTCATTGCTTCTTGCTACACTTTTAAGAAAAAAAATAAAATGCAATTGCCGTAGTTTAACGTCCAAAAAACTTGGACAGCTTTGCCTACGTCTGCGTGCCTCTTTGAATGATCACATAGCAGCTGAAATCTGCATTTATATTCTAAACATACATTTTTTCAATCTGTCAAAGAAAAGACGAGAGCCAATACCTTTTTTCGATTATCAATAATACATTGGGGCTTACTTAAAACAGAGGCACACACCTTCTAATACAAAGAGTGCTGTCATCTTAAAAAATCACCATTTATTTCTGACGTGATCAGAAGTAATGACTCAACCATTACATGAGGACTACTTGAAGAACGAGGTGTGTCTGCCTCTCAAAGCTTCTCAATAAAAGATGAAAGTAAAAAAAGCAAATGACGGCAATATTACAACAGTAGACTATAAAATAAATATGTTATTTCCAGACACCTCTGTTGGATTTTTTTTATTATTTTGTCTGTACTGTCAATGAATCTGGCTAGGGTTGAAATGCACAACACCCAAAAACATCTCTGTGAATTGAATAGCGTGCTTTGTGTGGTAAGTATGCCACCTAAAGACCCTGAAAATGTTCATTCATTTTCTTTTTTGGCCAAAGTTTAAACTGTTTGGATTTTTTCCTACTTGAGAAATCACTGTATTTATGTTTTTCTAGCGTAACTAGCTTGCGCCTGAGGTAACAAAATGTCATACAAATAGGTTGACTTGCAGATGCACATAATTGAAGCGGTCTTCCTCAAGTCAGTATTTCAGCAAAATGCCCTTAAGACTTAGGAAGTGTAGACCTTTAAAGATGCCTATTTCAAGATTAGATCTATAAAGGACTTCGGATTTCCCTTGAACCTGAGAGAAATCTGTAAAATTAAACCTTTACAAGATGGACAGAAAGACAGTTGAGACGGCATCAAGGGTCGTGATGGTTCCTGTTTAGGTTCAGTGGAACGATCTCAGAGCGTAATGTCCTCTCTCTCTGAGGGCTGTAAAAGCCTAATAAATAGCTAGCTGTATTGGCTTTGCTGTGTGGCAAAGTGGCTGTCAGTCAGCAGGCCTAACTCGATCAGATAGCAGGAGAATCAGAGGCAGACAGCAGAACGCTAATCTATATTGACGGACTGGGAAACAGCCGCACACACACACTAAATGCCGTTTCAGCGATAAGTACATGATTTGTTTAGGTCGCTGCAGACATTTCCCAGTGGATGTCTCATAGTGGTGACTTAGAATAACAGAATATCGTAATACATCAATGTAGAGATGCTATTCAGGGATGATGGGAGATTAAGTCTAAATGTAGATACACTTTATACACCAAGTTCATTCGTTGAGGGGCTTGCAGAGACTCTTGGGGTACAACAATGTATCAAATGGAAACTGTTAAAATGTGTTTCAGGCTTTTATGTTTCGTGAAAAACTTTTTAAAACATAGACTACGTACACTACCTGTGCAACACCAAAGCAGACGGACAGAATTAGCTACTGGGCTTACTGGTGCATTTAGCAGCTAAAGAGATAGATATTTACCTCAGGAGTTGGTTAAGACCAAACATGGAGCTACACATAGGAATGACTATTGGTGGTTATGATACAGTATGTTCACAACTTGTGTTCTGCTACCCTAACATGACTTAACATAACTGTCATTGTGGGTTTAACCAATATTTTCATTATCAAAGTGTCCATTATTTAAATCACTGTTTAATTCATTTAATTTCATTTTCACTCATTACAGAAACATTGGGTGAGGGAAAGTATAGTGAAATCTTGTGAGTGTATTGGTGATAAATTGGCTGCGTCTCAGGTCGGTTAAATGGAATCCTTGCGTCCCTCACTTGCGTTGTTTCCCTGCGTCTAGTCCCTCCCTGGAGAGACGCAAGGAAACCACGAGAAGCAGGGAAATGAGTTGTAAGAGCAATGGGACATCGTTTCCTCCGCAGCGTCACATGAAGCGACATCCGTTTGTCATGACGCCGCACAACTGATGTCTGACAGCAGCTCTGTCCCCGTTGTTTTCACAAACACCCCCGCCTCTGTTAGTACAAATTTACTGACATATACATTTGTATCATCTGTTGTAGACCCAAATAAATAAAATAAAATAAGAACTCATTCTTAAAAAAGATAAACGCCATTCAGTGTTTCCCCTATATACAAATAGTGGCGGCGCAGAGCCGCTGCTGAAATATGCGCGCCGCTGCTAGGGGGTGCCAGCCAGGTACCCAAAACAAATTGGGTAAATAATAAAAAATAAATAAAATATTTTTATTAATAATAATTTATTAAAATAATAATAAGTGGTGACCCTTTTTCATTTTTGATTTTTTGTGATGTGTATTTTTAGTATTGGTGTTACTGTATGTTCAATAAAGGTGTATTTTTGCTAAATGTTGAGACTTTGCCACTGTATGTACTGGGCAGGGCCGATTTTTGGCATAGGCAACATAGGCGGTCGCCTAGGGCGCCAGATCTGGGGGGCGCTGCGCTGGTAGCTCTGGGAGGGAAAAAACATTTTTGACCGTTGGCGCTCATCCAAATTTTCGGCCTAGATGTAACAACATTCATAATTAAGTCAAGGTAACACCCTTTTCACCCCGGTTACACTTTTCATTTGCCCTGTACGCATTCTGTTGAGTCTTCGTCATACTGTTTCGCTTAGTGTTTATTCACGTCCTAGTCGTTAGCAAAATAGGCCGTCGTAACACTAGAAAATAGGTGAAGGTTACCGCCTTATTATCTTAGAGGAGCGCCGGACGCGATTATCAAGCCTCCAGCAGTAAGGGGGGCGCGTGTTCGAAATAACGAAGGCTAAGTTCTAAAAGTCTTGTGTGACGAAACGAGAGCATGGGATATGTTCTATACAGTTCTGGAAAACACCATTAAATTTTCGTGCGATAGCTCGCGCGCCGTCTGTTCAAGTTTTAAGATTAGGGAGAGCGAGAGAGAGCGAAGCGATTTACCGATATTACTACGAAGAGTATCCGCCCCGACGTTGGTAGCAGTTTTCTTTGCTGGGCTATCAAAGGAGTGCGACCGCAAACACGAGTGGTTTTTCGTTTGCCTGTGGGGGTGTGTGTGTTTGTGTGTTTGTTGTGTGTGTGTGTGTGTGGTGTGCGTTGTGTGTATCGGGCGGTGTGTGTGGTGTGTGTGGTGTTGTGTTGTGTGTGTGGTGTGTGGTGTGTGGTGTGTGTGTGTGTGTTTGTGTGTGTGGTGGTGTTGTGTGTGTGTGTGGAGTCACGACTAAGTTCGTTGACAAACCCGAGGTTACTACCTCATTATGTTTCCGCATCTTTTCTCAGAGGAATGTTTGTAAACACTTTAATCTCCGTCGTTACTTAAGTGTGATTTGTTACAAGGTTGCGCAAGTTATACTTCGTTTATGTCGTAAACATCAACCGGTCCACAACCTTGTAAGTGTTATTAATCAATGTAATACATTGTCTAAACAGAAGTGAAAACAAAAGTCTCATAGCTGGTGGTGTGGTGGTAGAAATAATCGCGAAGCGAGTGGAGTTCGACACGCGTCATTCGAGACGAGCCGAGAGACACGAGGTCCCGAGTCGCATCCCCGGCGCCTCACGACTCCTTCTCGCGACGGAGGAGAAGGAGACGCGACATCACAAAGAGGAACTGAGGAATCTTTCGGGACCGGTCGGAAGAGAGCCGACGCGCGATTCTCCAGGAGGTCAGACGAA